TACCAAGAGATACACAAGAAAGCTTCAGCAAGTTCCTTGTCTCTTATCTCAAAAAATAATTATCCTTTATGGTAGCAATGCCTAGTTTTCACTGAAATTAACATTTCTGCCCAATCCCCCTTTTGCCTATGGCCACTGCGTGCTGTATTTTGTAAATTAATGTTAAGATTCACAGCTGGAGAAATTTAATTTTCACACCTTACAGTTTGCTGCCTCCAAACACTGTCTAAGTTTCCCCTTATCAGCTCAGTCAACACAAATCTCTCCTCAGGTTTTTGTGTAGTTTCCACCATAAGCTTGACACAGCTGACGGCATTAGGAAAGCCCCATGCTCCCTCCTTCCTGTCCAGCTATGTGCTGAAAAGGGTGGCCTCTAAGATCCTTTTGTAGACCTGTAAACAAACAATCCCTTTCATAATCGCCTGAATATTTTTTAAAAACAAATGCAGTCTGTGATAGGGTATATTCTTCCTTTAATTGCATTAATTTTTCCCCCCTACCATAGCAAGCAATTTGGCTGATCTCTAGATCAAGAACACAAGACTTCTCAGTCTCTGCACTCTTAAAATCGCGTAAGATCAGTCTCCCTTTTTCACTGTTTATTTTACAATCTCTGCTCTGTCTACCTTATTGGTGGACACCTCTTACCAAAAAACTCACCTAGAAGTCTGTGAAACAGATGCATTAATATTCCAATAATTTTCTAAACTGTAGAAATTTGCAATATTTAATTACATATTTTTTTAAAAATAAATTACTAGCATGCCTCAGAAGAGTGTAACACCAGAGGCCCTTGCTGAAGCACACATGTAATGAAATTTTTTTCAACTTGGAACTTCTTCTGTAAGATAGTTCCTTAACTAGATCACAGTCAACCATGTTAAATTAGCAAACAACTGTAATCTGTTTAATAACTCTCTCTGAAATGTTGCCTTAGCTTGTGTCAAAATGGTACCAATACATAAACCAGTAAGTCTTCTATATCTTGACCTATCTTGGACAGCATTATCTCACCCTAAATTCCTGGCTGTTCCATCTTCTCCTCAGGGATGCATGGTGCTTTTCCATTTGGGGCTCCTGAGATTTAACATAACCCCTTTCAAACATCCTTCACCAACTGCTAAGCCCTAGGTGACAAGAGGCAAGGATTAAAATTTCTCATCTTCAAGTGGCACTGAATGATAACAAGGACATCAGAAATAGGCACTGAGACAAAACAGCAAGTGTCCTGGTAAGGCTCACTGCACATACATAAGCATGTAATGTGAACTATCGTGAAGCAAACATGTAGTGTAGTAAACCATTTTAAATTACCTCACCCATACTGAAATAGAAGTTCATTGGCCAAAACAGACCACTGTAAGCTGTCCAGGGCTCCTGCAAACCTGCTGGCAAGACAAGACATCTGCACCAGCAGCACTGGATTGAGTATGCCACAAGAGGGGCTACAGTCACCTGCATCATACACAGCATAAGTATTTGCACAGTAAGGCCATGACACTATTTTATTTTTACAACAAGCTGGAGTGCTTTGCTAAGTTGTACAATAAGCCTAGCATCAGTCCTTTAGTTGCATATGACTTTGTTGGGTTTGGGTTTTTTGTTTTTTTTAGTAATATTAAATGGAAAAGCTTTGCCTTGCGAGTTTTAAGTAACAACTTAGATTTACTGGGTTTAGTCCACATAAATGCTTGAAATCAATGGAATTTAAATGCTAAGGCAATTTTGAAAATCCTTTACACAGCTTTGCATACCATAATAGTATTTAAAATCAAACTTGCTGTATTCAGTCCATAAGTACTTCACCAACAGACACTTTAGAATAATCTTGTACAGCCAAGATGTTATTCTGTGCATTTCACTATCAGTGTCAAAATAACTCCCAAAGAGCCAGTAATGTCACAGCTCCATATAGCAAATAATTCTAAACACTCAATATAACAGGAGTCAAAAATTTTGAGCATATAAAGTAAAAATCAAGTGCTTTCTCTCTACAGTCTGGACAGCATAGTCACCATCATCTCATCCAACAAACAAAGGCATCCCAGACTACAAACTCAGTAACTGTGTTTCACACATCAAATACAGCACAACAGGCACTATATTCATTCCTCAGTCTTTCAGACTCTACTCAACTTTTATAAAATAACAGCTTACTCAATTCACAAGAGTTTTATCATACTGACAGAGGATAGCAATTCACCTGAACCCTACCACAAAAAGCAGAAATGTCAAGGTATAGGAATTCCCATCATTATATGAATATTCCCTATCATACATGACCTGACAGAGTAAGCTTCTATAAAATGTATGGCTACACTAGGTTAAAGCACACCTCCCAGCACCTCTGATGTGAAGACTGAGGACTGGTCATTCTTGCTCTGAATAGCTGCAACCTCCCCAAGCATCTCACAGCTCTTGTGGTTCATCCTACTACAGTAAATTCAGTGTGTCCTTTTGCTAGAGGGAGGTTGGAAATTGAAAGAGGAACCATTCATAAACATGGATAGCTTTTTTGCAAAATGGTATTAGCAAACAAAATGCTATGTTTTGATACCATTGCCAGCATACAGAACAGCACTTTTTCACTACAGGTTTGGCTGAATAATGCATATTCCTCATGTTCCACCACCTTTTTATTCTAGTGGGAGAGCTAAATGTAAATGTAGCTGCAGCAACTATGCAAATAAGGTTTTATGCATTCATGTTTGCAGCTGAAACTACTAGGAACAACAGAAGTGGACATGACATAAAAGGCAAAATAGAACATTATCAGCTTTTGCCAATCATTCAAACCAGTCTATCTCAAAAAATCAACTACATTTACATTGTATTTGCAAATGTTTTTTATCTCATATATCCACATGCACATTTGTTATGCACAAAAACTTGTTCATACAGATGTGCCTGTCATGTTGGTCACCCACTTGCAACACTTGCAACCCTCCTACTTCTTAAGAAAGCTAACAGAAACAAAATACCTAGCCTCCCACATGCAATTCACATTGTCATTATAATTCTTCCTGTATTTCAAAACAATCTAGAAGTTCAGTCTCTGAAGCCACCTTTTTACCTTTCGTTGTAGACACAAATTCCTTGTTATCCTCTACTGCTGAAACACTGAACTCTACAGTATATGATCTCTTCACTAGTGAATCATGCTAATGAAACATTTCTTACAGTATGTTCTATGAAGCACCACCAATACCATTAAGCCTCCTTTAAAAAAGAACAAACAACATGGAAAAACAGTATTTATCTTTTGGAACATTGCTATATAGATCGTTTAAACTTCTGATTTAAGATTTCAACAATCAAGAGTGCATATCCAGCCAGTTCCTGCAGACACTACCAACAGAGCTATTTCAGCCACTTGTAGCTGGTTTTCCATGAAAATATATCAGGAGAAAAAAATTAGAAGGGAAACTGGAGTACCACATTCAGAAATCTTGCATTTCAAACAATATCATGTGCATCACAGCTGCATCGCCAAAGACACTGTCATGCTAGGACCACTCTCTTTTAAATTATGCCACTAAGGCTGCCACAAGATCACTAATGACCAAATGGCACTTTTCCCATCAGAGCAAAATGTGCAGCTAAGAGCATTTTAATACAGCATGTAACAAACGAAGACTCTTTCAGTAGCTGACACTGTTAGAAACTTCACCTGAAGATTAAACTTCTAGCGTAAACAAAAAGCATTCTTGCAAAAAATCTGCAGTGGTTTTCTTATGTGATCTTACTAGAAACTAGCAAAGTAGACAACAATACAGAAAAATTATCACATAGGGCACATTTGCAAACAAAACTACTGAACTAGAGAAAGCTAGATGACCACTTGGAAGCAGGCTTGGCCACAATGTGACCAAGAACTGACACAGCTGCACTCTCTCTGCAGTTACAGAAAGAATTTTTCAATATCATTAACTAATCCACTTTGAGAAACCAAAAGTGAAACCAAAAAGGAAAAACAAAGCAGCACCTCAGAGGCACAAAAACAAGTGCAAAAGTATTATTGCCTCTAAAATAGAGTGTCATGGTAACCATTAGAGGTTGAACTGCTCATTGGTTGTAGCTGTAACTTCTTTCACTTTAGAAATATACTTTAACATGGCATCAGGTTATACTAGATAAGACTGATTTTTGAACTGTCTGCATTTTAACTGATCTCCACTTTTCATCCAAAACCTTCATACATGAATAAAATAAACTGATTCTGTGAATGTAATTTGCTAACACAGTAAGTATGAAGACATAATTACAAAATTACCATGCATCTTGCCAATTACCTAGTTAATCAATGGATAAATCTGCAGATTAATGAACCTTACTAGATTTACACAATCTCAAGAAAAGTAAGAACAAATCTAAAAGCTATATAGTATCTAAAATCCACGGGACAGAAAAATTAGTTGTACAAGAAAATCCATCTGAAATTCCTGCTTCTGTTGGAAAATATTCAAGTCATTTTGTTGATTATGAATTTGAAATTTAAGTTTTAAAGATAACTCAAAATTTTAATTACCAAAGCCACTACTACTAATGAAATTACTCTTTAGAAGACAGTAACAGCATTCAAAGTGGACTGTGTATGTTTGTTTTAGTTGTCTTGAAGTATTCCATTTTATCAGAATACTGCCTTGATTCCACTATATAAAGATGTCTTACACATACTCTCATTGCCTTGCAGCCTCCTACAGCAACTTCTAGAAGCATATCAAGTGTTATCCCAGCTTCTAGTAGGAAGAAAAAATTGTTTCCCCTTACCAAGGGAAAAAGTAAAGCCTGTCCTGCACTAAACACAACTAAAACTATTTGGCCCCAGTGACAGGTACATTAAAACAATGCCATCATCTTTGACAGGATTATTGCTTTCCAAGTTCTGTATGATAAAGTGTACACATAAAAAGAGGAGGAGACTGCCCATAGAACTTTGGAACAAAGGTCTGTCAAGCAGCAACACCTTAGCACCTTATGTTAAATACAAAATAACCATGATGAAGATCTTGCAGGGAACTGATCAGAAAGCACAAGGTCTTACCTTTACTGAAATCCCTCACAAGATCAAAGGTAAATACCTTAAAAAAACAGTCTCCTGGTTTAATAAACAAATGTCACAACTTTTTCACTGCGACCCCAAATTGACGTGTATTCTTTTCATATATACGGCTTGATGGCAGAACAGGCACTGTCAAAAACAGCTGCCAAATGCAAGAATCACCACAGATTTTAGTTGTACAGGGTTGTCTCAAGGCAAGTGTAAGCGGCCAGCCATGGAGAACATTTAATGCTTATAGTACCTTTGATTTGAGTTACAGAAAAAACACACGGTGGGCAGGATAAGGAAATGCACTACCTTCACCCAAGCGCTTTCAACATGACTTGAAGTCACCCAAGCACTTACAGATTAAAAAGGGCAAGAGCAAAAACCCAAGAGACCAGGCAGGAGGAGAAGATCCCGGCCTTGCTCCCCCCTCTCCTCAGCCACCTCCCGAAGCCAAGGCAGCCGGGATTCTCCCTGAGAACAGCACCTTGACTCGGCAACGGAGAGCAACGTCTTAGAAAACAGACTCATTAAGGCCTTCCTAACGTTCCTCACGTTTCCCTAGCAAAGGGGCTCAACACCTGAGCCGCCCGGAGCAGGGGCCGCGGCCCCGCCACACTGGGACCCGCATCCCCTCAGACACGGGGGCAAG